GTGCATTGGAGCTGCTGTTACTTTTAGCCCTGGGGAAAGCTGTGCTGCCACTCCCAAATGCACTCCAAGGAAGGGAACTGCTTCCCCTTGTATAACCCAAGGGATCTTCAAACCATACTGCTTGCTCCTGGGTCTCTACACTCTTCCCCCACTGCAGCACCACTGATCTCACTAGGCACCACCCTGGCAACGGCACAGACCTCTGAAACTTCAAACTCTGCACTCTACTGTTTGTAAAACCTTGTGGTATTCAGGCCCTCTCTCTCTCTCCCAGTCAATGGTTTTTGAGGAAAAGTTTTTCTTGTGCACAAGCTTTCACTTTTCTCTTTCTCTCTTGCTCTTCTCTCTGTGATCAGAGCACCTTTGCAGCATCCTCAGCTTTTCTCTCCCCCAAATCAACTTTCCCACATTTCCTACCTTACATAATGTGGCTGGTTTTTCTACTTCTCTCAGTCCTCAGATTGATTTATTGAGTGTTCAAATGATTTGATATTTATCTAGCTGTGTTTGAGGGATGAGGCAAGCTTAGGGACCCCTACTCATCTGATAACTTAAATACCCCCCCCAGAAACTCTTAATGATAGAGAGCAACCTGAGGGTTGATAGAGGGAGGTGGGTGGGGGATGGACTAAATGGATAATGAGTATTACAAAGAGCACTTGTTATGATGAGCATTGGTATTATATGTAAAAGTGGTGAATCACTAAATTCTATTGCTGAAACCAATACTACACTATATGTTAACCAACTAGAATTTAAATAAAAAATTGAGAAAAATTAATAAAAGAAATTGCTTCACAAATTCACCTACAAATAGACATTTCAGTACTTTCATATTTCCTAATTAAGCAGTTTCATATTTCCAGTTTAAAGGATAGATTTCTAAGTAGAAAATTATTTCTAGACTCCTACTGTTGAATACCACCTAGAAAAATAATAACAACCACTAACCAAATGTCACTCATACAAGATCATGGGTATATGTATGTGAAAAACATGGGACCCTACAAGCAGAATTATTCAGTAACGCAATCTACTTTGAGCCAGTGTCTGACAAGGATGTCTTTTTCAGATATTAGAATTTTCAAGTTAGACATACAGATTCTAATGCTTTAGATTTACTTAAAAACATAATCTGTATGCATTCAAACTGCATATGTCACAGTTAAGTGGGCCTTTCCTTCATGTCACCCTTAAGACTACCCCCAGTCTACCTCTGTATCTCTGTTCCTTTTGTGATGAGGCAAGCGCTCAGTGATAGTTCAAGTGTTTTCCAGCTCTGTTCTCCTTCCGCATGTAGAAGCTAAGGAGTATTGAGAATTTGGCTTGAAAGTTCAGCCTTGGCCACTCTTCTGGAGGCTAGAGGAAGTCATCAAACCCGGTGACATCCCAGGCCACAACCTCAGGTGTTACTGGCCTCAGACACCAGGCTCCATGAGTTTGGTCTTACACTCCCTTAGCCCCAAGCCTGCCAATCCTAGATTCCTTTGATGGCTCTTGCTGGAGAGCCTCAAGGGCCTCTGTTACTTCAGCTAGAATGATAGAAGCAATCTTGGAATTATAAATTCGTCACCTGGATTTTAATTCCAGGTGGTAAGTTTCCCAGAATCAAGGAGATAATAGCCATACTCCACTGAATAGTTCCTCTCCCATTCTTTGTGGCAAAATGGCCCCAAGCCTGCATTCTGGGATTATATTCTTCCCCTGCAATGCTTTCCTAGCAAGATTTGTTCTGCAATCCATTCTTCATCTCTGCTGTGTCTCAGCTACTACAGCAGAAAATTGCTTCCTCTATACCTTACATTTAATTCACAAACATAAAACTTTGAAGGGTCAGTAGGAATACAAAGAACTGCCGAAACCCGCTAGTAATCTAGAAGTGCAAATTAAAACAACACTAAGCTATCACCTTAGACATATACAATCGACAGACATCTGAATGCTGCTAACACAAAGTGTCAATCAGGATATGAGGGAAATGGGAGTCTTTCTACTCAGGTGGATGATAATGACTGGTGAAATTAAGTACGCATATGTCCTGTCCCCAGCACATTCCATTGCTGATGTATATCCAAACAAAGTTCTCATGTCCATCTACAGGGCACATTTGGAAAGTACTCATCATTGCAGTGTTTGTGGTAATGAGGAGCTGGAGGCAACCCAAGAGTCCTTCACCAGTTGGACTAGTCAGCTAAATGGTCTTAGGTTGGTTTCCTCTAAAACTGGAGCCTTAGACATGAATTTGCATTCAAGTAGCTTATTTGGGTGCTGATTTAAGGAAGTACCAGTGTAGGGGTGAGAAACCGAGGCAGGGGCAGTGTGAGAATAAATGAAGGATACATTATGACAGGTTACCTCTATGGACAAAGAGAGTTTAATCCCACTGGAGAACACTGGGAGACAGTGTTGTTCATGCCTCAGGGTAATGCCACCCAAGTGGGGAGAACACAGGGGTATTTACCCTCCTGTTCCCATCATGCTGTGCTGAGTTGTGGTCCCAGGTATAATAAATTGCACCCATCTATGTCATCTAGCCTGCCCAGCGCAGACCGAGAGAAAACCATCAGATAAACAGCCCCAATTTTGAGCAGCAGGACACCAGATGCATGAACTACACAATCAGTACCAAAGGAGAGCACAAGGCAACAACTGGGTCATGCAGACAGGCTTTAAAAGATAGAGGGAAATGCACAGGAAATAGCAAAAGTTATAGACCAATATCATTAGGGTAAACTGAAAACACAAGCAGGAAACAAACCACATTACACATGTCACACTCATACCACATATGTGCACACGTTTCAGACACACTACACAGTGGCTTTGAGGGCTGTAGCAAATGGGAATGAGGATGGAGGATAGAAGAAAGAAAAATAGAAACCGAGGGGCCTCACAGAACTTGATGAACAAAGGGTGTCATAACCTGAGGATTTAAGACATCCGTCTTCTGCTTCCTCTAGGTTAAGAGATCTGCTTTTCCTGGACCCCCTCAAAACCCTCACCTTCCACACTGCACACAGGACATTTGGCTTTGGGCTCTGCAAGACCAGGAACTGTGTCAAATACAGCGTAATACCTACCCCTCACAGCTTGTGGCCAGGGCTTATCAGATAATACAGTTCTCCACTCTTTTTAAGTGAATAGACTTGAATCAGAGGTGCATAAGCCCGACCTAAGGCCCCACGACTACATTTCCCAGAGATCTCTGGGTGATTCTAACGCAACTCTGGGGGCGGAGCATTCTGGAAAGCCAGGGATGGCACTTCCTGTACCGGCGCTGGGTGTGAGAGGACTGCAGCTTTTTTGTGAGTCCTAGTGGAGGTCGGTAAGTGACTTGTTTGTGCATTGAAATTGGGGCTTCCTCCTATCTTAAATGTGGAGTCCAGAGGACTGGATACCATATACTTGCCTGAATTTCAGGTCCTAAGGTGATTCAGGAAGTTTGGCTAACACATACTTTACATCCTTATGCTATAACTACTATACAGCATATAAGGTCACAGGCTCTTGATTCAAACTGTCTGGGTTATGGTCAAAGCCACACCACAGCCTAGCTGTGAGGACTTAGGCAGGTCACTGCATCTCGAAAGGTCAGTTTGTTCAGTTTGTTCATCAGTAAAATGGAGGTGATAAGAGAGATTAAAAAGTTGTTGTGTGGATTAGAGAAGTGTGTTAGAGGACAGCTAATGTGTATAATGAGTGTTTCAAGGGGCTGGATTTCCCTCTTGGGTAATTGAAGCAGTGATGTCCATGTCCTCTGTCCCCAGCTGGCTTTGGCCCAAAGGGCCCAGTTATTCCTGCAGGCAGTGTGTTCCTATTTCCTGCTCCTCCTGCATTAGCTGATCAGAAATTCTCTAATGATCTCAAATGCCCAGGGAGGCTGGGTTGCATTCTCTGCGATGTTTAAAGGAATTCCTGGGGGAAGTTTCATCCTGTTGGAAAGAGGCTTAGTGGGGAGAGTGCCAGGAGCCATTACGGACAAGTATCAACTCCTTCACTGGTGGCCGACTGAGGACACCACTCCCTGAGCAGAGGTACGAAATTTCATAGGGGAGAGGAACCTGCTGAGGCAGAAAACCCCAGGAGGAAGGGGCCCTATGGACTCTCCACCCTGGACATTGCTCCCATGTTCTGGCATGATTCCCACAACAACAGCATGCCCGCTGGCTCTTTTTTAATAAATTGCTCTTTCTCTTCCGCAGGGCTCTCTTTTCAGTTTCTCAATCATGAAACAGCTGACTCCACCCTCTCTCGACCCAAAGGAAGTTAGCTGTCAACTATTTAGCTGCATCTTGCTCAGAGATCTATTTTGTTTTTTCCTTTATAGACTTAAAAAGTTCAGAGCCAACTTTGAAAATAAGCAGCTTTTACCTTCAAATCTGAATTTCTGCTTCTCCCGAGGACGGCAAAATCAACAAAACAAAACAAAACAAAACCCTCAGAACTTCCTGCTTCTTGCGGCTCATTCCAATTGCCTTTAGCTGTACTAACTGTCTTCTATGGGGCTTTTCAGTGTACAGTTCAAGGATGGTCTGTGGACATAGCTTGCCTGGAAACTTCTCCTTTTCCATCTGGAACATTACTGGACTGGCCACTTGCCTCTGGGAGAGGGCTGGGTACTAGTGTTCTTAGGGTGGGCTTCAGAGCCAAAATAAGACAGAATGGATGGGATGGCAAGGGAAAGGAAAAGAAGGGAAGGGGAGAGGGAAAGAAAACAAAAGCACCTATGAAGAAAAGTCATTCAGGAGCACTCCTTAAAATTCTTCTGTTCAACTCGGCATTTCTGTTCCTAGCTACATACCCAAAAGATTTGAAAACAGATACTAAAAACTGTACTTGAACACAAATGCTCATAGTTGTGCTATTCATAATAGCCCAAGGTGGACACAACCCAAATGCTCAAGAAATGAAGAAATAAACAAAAATGGTATATTCATGCTATGGAATATTACTAATTCATAAAAAGGAATGAAGTGTTTTGTTTAAGCAACAAACTTATTTCTTAGAGTTCTGGAGTCTTGGAAGCCGAATCCTGATTTGTACAGTTTATATGTCTATTGACATCCTACTTCCTCTGGCTGTAGGACTCTACCTCCTCAGTCCAGAGGACTGATTTCTTATTCTATCATCCAAGGCAAAAATTAGGTAGGAAAAAAGCAGAGTGTCTTATGTCTCTTCTAAAGGCACAAATCTCATTCATGAAGCTTCCAGCTTCAAAACCTAGTTATCTTCCAAGGTTCTCCCCATTTCTTAATACTATCATATTGGAGGCTATGTTTTCAATACATTAATTTTGGAGGAGTACAAACATTCAGCTCACAACAAAACTATTGTAGTTCTTTTCTATGTAATAAGCCATTTTGTCCTGTCTCGAACTTAGTAAAGTAATGTTAAACTACCATCTCTTCCTTCTAATTTAGGGGAATAATCTGAGACACAGAATCAGAAACAAGAAGTTTTTCTGAGACTATGTAGATAGTAGGGGAAAGAGTGAGAATTCTATCACTGGACAGAATTTTCAACTTTGATTGCACTTTAAATTTACCTGCAGAATTTTTATTTTATTTTTATTATTTTCTTTTTTACTGAAGTAGATGTACAATTTTGTATTAGTTTCAGGTATACAACATAGTGATTAAGTATTTATATACATTGTAAAGTTATCACCAGTAATTTCACTAGCTGTCACTGTAAAAATCATTACATATTATTAACCATATTCTCTACATTGTGTAGTGTATTCCCATTTCTTACTTATTTTATAACTGAAAGTTGGTACCTTTTAATCCCCTTCTTCTGTTTAGCTCATCCCTCCACACCCCTCTTCTCTGAGAAACCATCAGATTAGCTTTGTATCTATGAATCTGTTTCTGTCTTGTTTTGTTTTGTTTTATAGATTACACATATAAATGAAAGTATATGGTAGTTGTCTGACTTATCTCACTTAGCATAATACCCTATAGATAGATCTGTCCATGTTGTTACAAGGCAAGATTTTATTTTTTTATGGCTTAGTGATACTCCATTATATATATTTACCATATCTTCTTGATCCATTCCTCTATCAATGGACACTTAGATTCCTTCTATATTTTGACTATTTTAAGTAATCTTGTGATGAGCTTAGGGGGCATATATCTTTTTGAATTAATGTTTCATTTTCTTAAGTTAAATACTCAAAAATATAATTGCTGGATTGTTTGGTAGTCTTATTATTAATGTTTACGGGAACCATCCTACTGTCTTCCATAGTGAATGTACCAATTTACATTTCCACCAACAACGCACAAGGATTCTCTGTTCTCCACATTCTCACATTATATAGTTAATAATATGTAATGATTTATGGTTTTCTTTTCTTTTTAAGTAAGCTCTTTGCTCTCTGTGAGGCTTCAATTCATGACCGCAAGATCAAAAGTCATGTTCTACTGACTGCTTCAGTCAGGCACCTGAACACTTGCTATTTCTTGTCTTTTTTTGATATTAGCCATCCCAACAGTGAAAGGTGATAGATATATCATTGAGGTTTTGAGTTCTATTTCCCTGGTGATTAGTGATGTTAAGCATCTTTTCATGTATCTGTTACCCATCTATATGTCTTCTTTGGAAACATGTCTATTCAGGTTCTCTGTCTATTTTTTTTTTTTAAGTATATGTTTAAATTCTAGTTTGTTAACATGGCAAATTGGTTTTAAGAATTCATTGACTCAATACTTATATATAACGCCCAGTGTTCATCACAACAAGTGCCCTCCTAATAACCATCACCCATTTACCCCATCCCCCCTCTCATCTCCCTCCATCAATGCTCAGTTTGTTCTCTATGGTTAATTTGTTGCCCTGTATCTCTTTATTCCCCTTCCCCTATGTTCATCTGTTTTGTTTCTTAAAGTCTACATATGAGCGAAATCATATGGTATATGCTTTTCTCTAACTGACTTATTTCGCTTAGCATAATACACTCTAGCTCCATACATGCCATTGCAAATGGCAAGATTTAATTCTTTTTGATGGCTGAGAAATATTCCATTGCATATATATGTGCCAAAACTTCTTTATCCATTCATCAGTCAATAGACTTTTGGGCTTTTTCCATAATTTGACTGTTGTTGATAATGCTACCATAAACATTGGGGTACATATGCCCCTTTGAGTCAATTATTTTATATCTTTTGGGTAAATACTTAGTAGTACAATGCTGGGTTATAGGGTAGTTCTATATATTTTTAATTTTTTAAATATTTATTTATTTTTGAGAGAGAGACAGAGTGAGAGTTGGGGAGGGGCAGAGAGAGAGGGAGACACAGAATCTGAAGCAGGATCGAGGATCTTAGCTGTCAGCATAGACCCTGACGCAGGGCTTGAACTCACAGTGAGATCATGTCCTGAGCCGAAGTTGGAAGCTTAATTAACCAACTGAGTCATTTGGGCACCCCAAGAGTAGTTCTATTTTTAACTTTTTTGAGGAAACTCCATACTGTTTTCCAGAGTGGCTGCACCAGTTTTCATTCCTGCCAACAGTTAAGAGTGTTCCCCTTTCTCCAGAGGCAAAGGAAACAAAAGCAAAAATCAGCTATTGAGACTTAATCAAGATAAAAAGATAAAAACCACAGCAAAGGATACAATCAACAAAACTAAAAGACAACAAATGGAATGGGAGAAGATAACTGCAAATGACATATGAGATAAAGAGTTAGTATCTGAAATCTATAAAGAATTTATCAAACTAAGCACCCAAAAACTAAATAATCACTAAACATATGGGAAGAAGACATGAATAGACACTTTTCCATATAAGACTCACAGATGGCCAACAACATGAAAAATGCTCAACATCACTTGTCATCAGGGAAATACAAATTAAAACCACAATGAGATACTGCTCCACACCTGTCAGAATGGCTAAAATAAACAACATAAGAAAAAACAGATGTTGGTGAGGTCCTCTGTCTATTTTTTAACTGGATTGCTTATTTTTCATACTGAGCTTGTGAGTTCATTTTATATTTTGTATTTTAGCCCCTTATCAGTTATATCTTTTGTAAATATCTTCTCCTATTCAGTACATTGTATTTTAATTTTGTTGGTAGTTTTCTTTGCTGTTAAAAGCTTTTTAGTCTGATGTAGTCCCATTTATTTGTTTTTGCTTTTGTTGCCCATGCCTGAAAAGACAGATCTAAAAACACATTGTCCAAGTGCTGACTGTGTATGTTTTCTTGTATTAGTTTCATAGTTTGGGGTCTCACATTCAAGTTATTTTGAGTTTATTTTTGTATATGGTGTAAGAAAGTGGTCCAGTATCATTCTTCTGCATGTGGCTATTTTAAATAATGTTGCTGGAAGCATAAGAGTGCATATATCTTTTCAATTAGTGTTTTTGTTTTCTTTGGGTAAGTACCTAGTAGTGGAATTACTAGATCACATGGTAATTCTATTTTTAATTTTTTGAGAAATCTCAAAGCCTCAATGTTTTCCACAGTGGCTGTACCAGCTTGCATTCTGACCAATGGTGCATGAGGTTTCTCTTTTCTTACTTCCTTGGCAACACTTATTCTTTCTTGTGGTTTTGATTTTAGCCATTCTAACATGTGTGAGGTGAAATCTCATTGTTGTTTTGATCTACATTTCCCTGATGACTAGTGTTTTCATGCATCTATTGGTGATCTTTATGTCTTCTTTGGGAAAATGTCTATTCATATTCAGGTCCTCTGCCCATTTTCTAATTGGATTGTTAGAAAATTGGATTGTCCACTTGTGTTTGATAATGACCTTGTGAATCTTTTACATATTCTGTATATTAACCTCTTATCAGTGATTGATGTCCATGAGCTGACAGAATTGCCACAGATTTATGTATATTAATTTTGTATCCTACAACTTTACTGAGTTCATTTATTACTTCTAATAGTTTTTTTAGGTGGAGTCTTTAGAGTTTTCTATATAAAGTATTGTATTTCCTGCAAATAGTGATAATTTTACTTATCATTTCTACTTTGATGTTTTATATCTTTTCTGATATTGTAGCTAGAACTTCAAATACTATGTTGAATAATAGTGGCAATAGTGGACATTCATCTTGTTCCTGATCTTAGAGGAAAAGCTTTCATCTTTTCACTGTAGATTATGATGTTGGCTGTTATTTTGCATATATAGTCTTCATTATGTTGAAATATGTTTCCTCTATACCCACTCTGTTGAGAGTTTTGACCATAAACTATTTATTGAATTTTATGAAGTGCTTTTTTTCTGTGTCTATTAAGATGACAATATGTTTTTTACCCTTCTTTTTGTTAATATGATGTATTGCTGTTGTTTATTCACGAATGTTGAACAATTCTTGCATCTCTGGAATAAATCCCATTTGACCATGGTATATGATCTTTTTCATATATTGTTGATTTTGGTTTGCTAAAATTTGAGGATTTTTGTATTTGTGTTCATCAGGAATATTGGCCTGTAATTGTGTGTGTGTGTGGGGGGGTCTTTCCTGTTTTTTTTTTAATATGTTTTTTTAATTTATTTCTGAGAGAGAGAGAGAGAGAGAGAGAGACAGCATGAGCAAGGGAGGGTCAGAGAGAGAGAAAGAGAGATACAGAAGCTGAAGTAGGCTCCAGGCTCTGAGCTAGCTGTCAGTACAGAACCCGATGCAGGGCTTGAACCCAGGAACTGTGAGATCATGACCTGAGCAGAAGTCGGACGCTGAACCGACTCAGCTACCCAGGTGCCCCATCTTTCCCTGATTTGGGTATGAGTGTAATATTGGCCTTCTTGAATGATTTTGGAAGCATTCCTCTTCATTATTTTGAAATATTTTCACTAAGATAGGTATTAACTCTTCTTTAAATGTTTAGTAGAATTTACCTTTTAAGACACATGGGCTTTTGTTTGTTGGGAAGTTGCTTGTTTGGTTGGTTTATTTGTTTGTTTTTGTTATTTATTACTAATTCAATTTCATTAATAGTAATGTAGTCTATCATTATCCTTTGTATTTCTGTATTACCGGTTGTAACTTCTCTCCCATTTCTGATTTTACTTATTTGGGCCTTCCTTTTTTCTTGAGATGTCTAGCTAAAGGATTGCCAACTTTTTTTTATCTGTTCAAAGAACCAACTCTTAGTTTCACAGATCTTTTTATTATGATGATGATGATGATGATGTCTCTATTTTCACTGTGATTTTTATTATTTCCTTCTTTCTACTAACTTTAGGTTTTGTTCTTTTTCTAGTTACTTCAGGTATAAGGTTTAATTGCTTGTTTGAGGTTTTTTGTTTGTTTGTTTCTTGGGATAGGCCCATATTGCTATAAATTTCCCTGTTAGAACTATTTTTGCTACATCCCAGAAGTTTTGAACCATTGTGATTCCATTTCCATTTGTTTTGAGTTTTATTTTGATTTCCTCTGATATCTTTGTTGACCTATTGGTTGTTTAGTAGCATATTCAATTTGCTATCTATGTCATCCCAACCCCCACTAAAATGTAAGATTTCTGTGGGTAAGCAAGCAGCAGATCAGTAGCAAATACACAGTAGGTGTTCAGAAACTATATTGAATGAATTAATAAATCAGTGCACAAATGAATGTAAATCATTGAGTAGGAAACTTTGACTATAATTTTATCTAAAGGGGAAAGTTTGTGGGTCAGGCACCATGGACTTCTTTACATAATTCTCCTGTTTATATTAGGAATTATTTGTAAACCCTATTTTGATACTGATTCAAACCTTGTCTTGTTTATCATGAAGAAAACCATATGTATGCTATTTATAATTTTGCTCCTCACTTATTCTGAATTTCCAATTTTTCATGTGTAAAATGTGAAAGAAGTGATAATAGTTTTCCTATAAGGTTACTAAGTCTACTAAGTGAATTTATATGTATCAAAGTAATTTATACAATAAAAGCACTAAACAAAGGACTTATGATTATGGATGTTTATAACCACTAATTTCATTTACATATTAAAATACATTATAATTAAGCTAATCAAAGAAATTCAAATGTAAAAGAAATATATTTGTTTCTCTTTTGTTGTTCTTCCCTTAGGGGTATCATGAACATTGAAGCATATTTTGAAAGAATTGGTTATAAGAATTCTAGGAACAAACTGGACTTGGAAACTTTAACTGACATTCTTCAGCACCAGATCCGAGCCATTCCTTTTGAGAACCTTAACATCCATTGTGGGGAAAGCATGGAATTGGGCTTGAAGGCCATTTTTGAGCAAGTTGTTAGGAGGAACCGTGGTGGATGGTGTCTCCAGGTCAATCATCTTCTGTACTGGGCTCTGACCACAATTGGTTTTGAGACCACAATGTTGGGGGGTTATGTGTACAATACTCCAGCTAATAAATATAGCAATGCTATGATTCACCTCCTGCTGAAGGTGACTATTGATGGTAAGAATTACATAGTGGATGCTGGCTTTGGACGTTCTTACCAGATGTGGCAACCTCTGGAGTTAATTTCTGGGAAGGATCAGCTTCAAGTACCTTGCATCTTCCGCCTGACAGAAGAGAGAGGAATCTGGTATCTGGACCAAATAAGAAGAGAGCAATGCATTGCAAATGAAGAATTTCTTAATTCTGATCTCCTGGAAAAAAATAAATACCGAAAAATATACTCCTTTACTCTTGAACCTCGAGCAATTGAAGATTTTGAGTCTGTGAATACATACCTTCAGATATCGCCAACATCTGTGTTTACAAGCAAGTCATTCTGTTCCTTGCAGACACTTGAAGGGGTTCACTGTTTAGTAGGTTGGACCCTTACCTATAGGAAATTCAATTATAAGGACAATATGGATTTGGTAGAGTTTAAGATCCTGAATGAAGAAGAAATAGAACAAAAACTAAAAAATACATTTAATATTTCCTTGGAGAGAAAGTTTGTGCCCAAACATGGTGATCTGTTTTTTACCATTTAGAGTAAGGAGTAAAAATGGTCTTCAGTATTACTTTGTGTACTGAAACTTTTTGTTATAAAAAAATTAAACATATATGAGACAATAAAATAATAAGTGCTCATGTATTTATCACCCAATTTGTTCTCTATCAATTACCATATTTCCTCAATTGCTTGTACAATGTATTAAAGAAAAGCTCACTCTTAAAAATTGCAGCATTTATATTTAGATAACATTTCAAGGAAACATAATCAGAAACTTTTCAAAATTAATAATAGTAAAGGCATTTTAAGGATGGCTTATGCTTTTATTGGGTGAAAAAGGTGATTTGTGCTAGAAAATCTTCCATATTGGTTTGTGAAAATGAATGAAAGAAACCTCATTTAAAATAGAGTTGGGAAGCCAGAATGGGGAGCTTTTATTCCCTACCTCTTGTCATCAATTGCAGTCCCCAACAGAAAGATGTGTATCTTGCCTTCCCAATAAGAAGAAGCTTACTTTACTTCTCCAACAACAGTAAGGAAGAATTTTTCTTTCCCCCTCAACAAGCTCAGCCAATAATACCACAACTCAGCCAATGAGAAATTGTCACTACCTTGAGTTCTTGCTTTCCTCCAATGCTTTCTCTTTATTCAAAGCAGTACTTCAGGCACCCCCAATTGCATTTTAAACACTAACAACAGAATATCTGAAAAAGAAATTCACAATAACATCAAAACAATAAAATACTTAGGAATAAATTTAACCACAAGGGTTAAAGATCTATACATCTGAAAACTAAAAGACAGTAATGAAAAAATTAAAGAAGACACACATGAAAAATAAAGAACACACAAATAAAAAGAAAGATAAACCACATTTACAGATCACAAGTATTAACATTGTTAAAATATTCATACTGCTCATGGTTATCTATAGAGGCAATATCAAAAATCCTATCAAAATTTTGGTGACATTTTACACAAAAACAGAACAATCCTAAAAAGTGTATGGAACTACAAAAGTCCTTGAGTAGCAAAATCAATCTTGGGAAAGAAGAACAATGGTAAGAAAGAAAGAGAGAGAGAGAGAGAAAGAAAGAAACAAAGAAACAAAGGAAGGAAAGAAGGAAGGAAGGAAGAAAGAAGCCAGAGGCTTCATACTTCTGATTTAAAACCATACTATAAAGCTGTAATAAACAAAACAGTCTCATACTTGCATAAAATCAAACCTGTAGACCAATGGAACAGAATCAAGAGTTAAGAAATAAACCCACATAATGTTGCCTGGGTGGCTCAGTCAGTTAAATGTCCGACTTTGGCTCAGGTCATGATCTCACGGTTCGTGGGTTCGAGCCCCATGTCAGGCTCTGTGCTGACAGCTAGCTTGGAGCCTGGAGCCTACTTCTGACTCTGTATCTCTCTCTCTCTCTCTCTCTGAGCCTTCCCTTTCTCTGAAATAAATAAAACATTAAAAGTTAAAAAAAAGAAATAAGCCCACACATATAAGGTCAACTAGTATTTAACAAGAGAACCAAGAATACTAATATGGAAAGAATAGTGTTATGATGGGAAAACTGGATATTCACATGCAGGAAGGAGGGAAGGAAGGAAGGAAGGACAAAGGAAAGAAAGAAAAAGGAAGAAAGAAAGAAAGGAAGAAATTGCACTTACCTTACAGTACTCACAAAAATTAACTCCAAATAGATTAAGAACTTAAAGACCTGAAACCATAAAACTACAGAAAGAAAACTCAGGGGAAAGCTCTGTGACATTAGTATTGGACATGACATCAAAAGCAAAAGCAACAAAAGCAAAAACCAATAAGTGGAGCATATCAAACTGAAAAGCTTCTGCACAACAAAAGAAAACTCCACAATAAGTAAATGTAACCTACAGATTAGGTAAAACTATTTGCATACCATATATCTGATATGGGATTATATACAAACATTTAAGGATCTTATAAAATACGATAGCAAAAGAAAATCAAATTAATAAAAAATCAGAGGACTTTAATAAACATTTCTTCAAAGAAATAGACAAACAAGTATTTGAAAAGGTGCTCAATATCACTAATCATCAGGGAAACGCAAACCAAAGCTGTAATGGCAAATCATTGTACACTATTAGAATCACTGTTAGCAAAAAGACAAGAGATAGAAAAAGCTTATGAGAATGTAGAGAAAAGGCAGCTCTGATATAATATTGGTGAAACTGTAAATTTGTATTACCAGCATGGAAAACAGGATGGAGGTTTTCTTAAAAATTAGTAACAAAACTACCATATGATCCAGGAATCCCGTTTCTGGGTATACATCTAAAGACAATGAAATAACTAAAACTCCCATGTTCATCGCAATATTACTCATAATACGCAAGAAATGGAAACAACCTGTCTATCAACAAATGAATAGATAAATAAAGCATGATATATATTATTCAGTGAAATATTATTCAGTGCTAAAAAAGGAATCTTAACATTTTCATTAATATGGATGGACTTTGAGGGTATTATATAAAGTGAAATAAGTCAGAGAAAGACAAGTATTCTATCATCTCAGTTATATATGAAATTTCAAAACATTGAGTTCATAGAAACAGGCAATAGAATGGTGATTGCCAGTAGCTGAGATTTAGAGGGAAATGAATAGATGTTGGTCAAAGGATACAAACTCAGGGATGCCTTGGGTGGCTCAGTCAGTTAAGTGTCCAATTTCAGATCAGGTCATGATCTCATGGTTTGTGAGTTCAAGCCCCGCGTTGAGTTCTGTGCTGACAGCTCAGAGCCTGGAGTCTGCTAGATTCTGTGTGTCCCTCTCTCTCTGCACCTCCCTAGTTCCCACTCTCTCTCAAAAGTAAATGAACATTAAAAATTTTATTTTAAAAAAGGATGCAAACTCAGTTATATTCTGGAGATTATACAACATGGTGACAACATTTAAGAATTTGTACTGTATTTTAAGTTGCTATAAGAGTAGAGCTAATATTCTCACCATAACAGCAACATAACAGTGCCAGCAACAAAATGGTGATTATATAAGACAAAGGGTGTGTTACCTAATCTTATTGTTACAAACCTTTCACAATATAGGTGTGTATGAAATCATTACATTGTATGCCTTAAACTTACACAACATTATGTCAATTATATCTTAACAAAACTGGGGGAAAAAAGATGCAAAACATCTCCACTCGTCATGGCTGCATTCTAGGAAGGGAGAGAGCAGGCATAGAAGAAAAGTCTTCAGGGGAGGCTGGACGACTCAGTCTGTTAAGCATCTGACTTCAGCTCAGGTCATGATCTCGCAGTTTGTGAGTTTGATACCCACATGGCGCTCTGTGCTGACAGCTTGTAGCCTGAAGCCTGTTTCTGATTCTGTGTATCCCAGTCTCTCTACCATTCCACTATTCTCTCTCTCTCTCAAAAATAAATAAACCTTAAAAAAGAAAAGAAAAAAAATGTCTTCTTAGATAAATGGTACTAAAGAAACTTCCAAGAAGCTCTGGCCTTTTATTAGCCGACAGAGAAGAAATAAGGACCTGATATTAGGTGGTAGTAGTGGGGTATAACAAAGAGGAATGTGACAGAGATTAAAGATACAGGGTGCCTGAGTGGCTCAGTCAGTAAGCATCTGACTTCGGCTCAAGTCATGATCTCACAGTTCATGAGTTCGAGCTCTGCATCAGGCTCTGTGCTGTCAGCTGGGAGCCTGGAGCCTGCTTCAGCTTCTGTGTCTCCCTCTCTCTCTCTGCCCCTTCCCTACTCAGTCTGTGTCTCTTTCTCTCAAAAATAAATAAAAAATCTTAAAAGTTGTTTAAAAAGTAAAGAGGTAAAGACTTTATTTGATGTGTGAGATAAGGAGGAAAAATCATGCAAGGACTCTGGGATTTGTAATTTATCACCACCTTGCAATGGGGCCTTGTGAGGTGGGATAGGTGAGATGGGAATGTGAATGAAGAACATCTTGCCAGGAAAGGGGCTACATTTCGTTTTGGACAGGGAGGAAAAAGGCAGTGGAATGAAAACAAAGGTAATTCTAACAGGATAATCAGCTCCAAAATCATAAGAGAGTTGGCTTGTAAACCATAAGCAGGTTGTCCTAGCACACTGTTTCGCTGAGAACAGAGGAACTTGAAAAGATGAAATCCACTAAAAAGGAACCAGCATATGGGGCAACTGGGTGGCTCAGTCGGTTGGGCACCCAACTTCCGCTCAGGTCATGATCTCAGTTCATGAGTTAAAGCCCTGCACCGGGGTCTGTGCTGACAGCTTGGAGCCTGGAGTTTGCTTCAGTTTCTGTGTCTCCCTCTCTCTCTGCCCCTTCCCCACTCATGCTTCACTTGTCTTTCAAAAATGAATAAAGATTTTTTAAAATAAAATAAAATAAAATAAAGGAGCCAGTGTAAGTGGCTGTCATTGCAACATGTAGTCTTAGAAAGTGCTAGGTAGATACATTTCCATCTCCTTTTCCCGCCCCTTAATCAAATCCTCCCCCACCTGAAAAATTGGAGACACTGGCCCTGAAGTGTGGCCTGAACAACCTTTAGTACCTATTGCTCTCATCCACATGCTGCTACCAACAGACTGAGGGAGACATGGGCATATGCATTTGATAAGTAGTGGATGAGAGTTAGTTTAATGGAGGAAAATGGAAAGAATAATGGTTTTGAAAGGGACCAGTCATAAAACACACTTTTGCCTGAATCCAGCCCCTTAACAATAAAATGGATTTGCCTTTGCAGATTGCCTACTCTAGGAATCACTTAACAAGAACTTTTCTTAGTTCCCCAGAATATTTTCACCTTTGTTGTATTCATAAAAATATAGAAAACAGGAAGAAGACAGGAAGGAATTGTGGACACAATTAGGTTCAACTCCCTCATTTTGCAAATGCATAAAATATATAAAGAACTTTGTATTCAGGAATCTACAAGTCACAGACAAGCTAGTGATGTATTGAGACTTTGAAACTCTTCCTGCTGTTTGATCCATTCTATTCCAGAGCCAGGCATGAATTCTTTCTCTAAGCAGATAAAGGGTTAAGTGGGTTCTGAGCTCAACCAATGAAGGCACATTGCAATTGAACCGTATGTTCGACCACATAGACAGATATAAAATATTCTATCCAACAACAGAATATACGTTCTTTTTATGTGCAAACAGATGATCTTCCAAGATAGGTCATATAATAGGACAGAAGACATATCTTAGTAAATTTAAGATTAAAATCATACCAACTATCTTTCTGACCACAATGGTCTGAACTACAAATCAAAAAGAGAAAATCTGGAAAACCAAAAAATATGTGGAAACTAAACAATACACTTCCGAACGATCAATGGGTCAAAGAAGAAATTGAAAAGGAAATTTAAAAATTACATAAAAACAAATAAAAATGGGAATAAAAATAGTTCTGAAAGGAAAGTTCATAGCAACACATGCATGTATTAAGAAACCAGAAATATCTCAAATAAACAACTTAACTTTACACCTCAAGGAACTAGAAAAGAAGAACAAATTAAGACCAAAGTTCTCAGGATGAAGAAAGTAATCAGAGCAGAAATAAATGAAATAGAGGCCAGAAAAAGTCAACAAAATCAAGAGTTGAGTTTTTT